ACTCCAATGATTTTACAGTCAGACTAGTTACAATGGTAGGTCAAGAGGTATAAAATCTGCCTATTATGAATGTTGAATGTGTATCTAAGTTGATAGATAGAGATTCTAGAGTTCTGGATCCCCTGCTTTGAAATAAGAGGACACATGCCCTGCATCCCCAAAGTTGGGGACCACTGAATCGGTGTCCTGGAGAGTTCTACAGTTCAGGCTACCTCCTGTCTTTCTCCTTTACTCCTCACTTCCTCCTTTACTTTCTCCTTTACTCCTTACTTCCTACACTTCATTTCTGACACTTCTGATCACCAAATGGGTGGGATTTTTTTCCCACACCAAGCAATTCTCCAGGACAGTAACCGGATGTCCTACAATTTAACTCAATTGTGACCCTACATACCTGGAGATACTGTCCGATCCTGCAGCTTAAGGGCTCAGTCCCCCAAGATTGCCTCCACCCCAGTTCAGATGCCAACCACAAGTCCAGATTGTCACCTGTGCTTCTGACTGATTGGCTATAAATTAGAGGTTCCCATGACCCACACCCCCCCCTTGGGTTCAATCAATTCGCTGGAGCAGCTCACAGAACTCAGAGAAACACTTATGTTTACTAGCTGATTAAGGGATATGATAAAGGATACAGATGAACAGCCAGATGGAGAGATACATACAGCAATGTCTGGGGGAGTCCTGAGCACAAAAGCTTCTGTCCCTGTAGAGTTGGGGTGTGCCACTCTTCCAGTATGTGGTTCACCAACCTGGAAGCTCTCCAAACTCCAGATTATTTGAATGTTTATGGAGGTTTCATGGCATAGGCACGATCAATCATTATCTCCATTTTCAGCCCCTCTTCCCTCTCAAGACAATGCGGAGCCGAACATTCCAGACTTCTAATCATGGCTTGGTCTTTCTGGTGACCAGCCTCCATTCAGGAGGCCAGCCAGAGTCACCTCAGAACAAAAGAAGCCCTATGTCAGGAACCAAAGGCAGAGACCAAATATTAGAACAAGAGACGCTCCTAGTGTTTTTATCACTGAGGATATTACAAGGGCTCAGGAGCTCTGTGCCAGTAACTGGGGACAGAGACCAATATATATATGTATTCTATTATCTCACACTCTGTAACCATGACCAATATTTTGCTAATTTGTGGCAAAATGGGGGAAAATAAGAATGCTGTAATCTATTTTTATTTTTTTTATTAAAAAAAAAATTTTTTTTTTCAACGTTTATTTATTTTTGGGACAGAGAGAGACAGAGCATGAACGGGGGAGGGGCAGAGAGAGAGGGAGACACAGAATCGGAAACAGGCTCCAGGCTCCGAGCCATCAGCCCAGAGCCTGACGCGGGGCTCGAACTCATGGACCGGACCGCGAGATGGTGACCTGGCTGAAGTCGGACGCTTAACCGACTGCGCCACCCAGGCGCCCCTGTAATCTATTTTTAATAAAGCTATTTACATGAAAATGTGAGGAACATCCTCTTTTTTTTCTGAAATTATGTTCTTCCTTATTTTGGTATCAAATAGTCTTTTAAAAATGAGATTAAGGCAGTAGTAGATATTTATGTGGACTGTCCTTATCTAGCAAATCATAAGATGGCAATTCTATGTCACTGCCTCAATATCTCATTCATTTTACTCCCTGAAATTTTGTTCATGCATAAGAACCTTAAGTTCAGCGACTACTCCCCCAAGAGAGTTCTGGAAGGACACACAGGAATTTGGGGTTCTTGCATCAGTGCCATTTTCTGGTCCTTCAACCCACTAAAATTTAGCAGTTATAGATTTAAAAATTCTATAGGTAAAAATAAACCAGCTTTTTTGGAATGTTGTTCTAATGAAACAGTGAGATACAAAAAAAAAAACCCTTGTTTTTGGAGTCTTTGTTGAGGCTTATTAACAAAATAAATGACTAAAAATTTACACTTAAGCCAAATGGAAGCAGTAGCTGAAATATGAATAGATAAAATTATTTATGACCATTTCAGCATTGGCTTAATTGCCAGGGAAATGAGATGCCTGTTTTAACTTGACTGTTTTGGCATTTTCCACCTCTCTGCTTTTTTCCAAGATAACCTTTTAAAGACTGGTGTTGACCAGATTGGTGTAGGTTTTGACCAGATTGGGATCAAATTACATTTTGACTTTGATATCTGAGTCAATCCACAAATCAAGATTGAGGCATAAAAGAGGCCATTAAGAATTTGCAGATGGAGTTACCTTTTATTGTTCGTAACAGTTTTCAATTAAATTTAGTACATGGAGAGAAGTTCTAGAAGTGTTTGTTTGCATCGTCCTCAAACACTTGTCCTCAAATTGTCCTCAAATCATTTTTAGAGCATTCTGTTATTTCCAACTCTTACGCCTCCTAATTCTCCTTTATGGTAGTTTGTCTTTTCATGTGGTTTGCAATCCTTGATTATGAACTCATCCCTAGAAAGGTTGTCTCCTGAGAGACCCTCTGACCTGGGGGTTGTGAATCGTCTCTGTAGAGCAATTTGACATTTGCATCTTCTAAAGCCCTAGGGTTTTCAGTGTTCTATACCACTTCTTCATTTAATTTCTCAGTTTGGGATTCTGGTGCCACACACGTAGTATAGATGGGTTATGATGTGCATGTGCATGCTGACCTCAATTTTCAATTTTCCTTAATTGACTTTTGCCAATTTGAAACTCCAGATAACAGGCATTTCTTAGGATGCCTTGTGAATTTCCACCTGTTATTATTTTTTTAATGTTTATTTATTATTGAGAGAGAGAGAGAGAGAGAGAGAGAGAGCAGGGGAGGGGCAGAGAGAGAGGGAGACACAGAATCCGAAGCGGGCTCCAGGCTCCGAGCTGTCAACACAGAGTCTGGCATGGGGCTTGAACAACCCATGAACCATGAGATCATGACCTGAGCCAAAGTCAGACGCTTAGCTCCTTCACTTGTTATTTTTATATAATCTTTTGTCACCATTGAGCTAGCATTTATTGAGTGCTTACTCTGTGCTAGAGCTTCTGCAGACACTATTCTACAAGGACCTCTCTACTCTCTCCACTGGGCAAATATCAGTAAGTTCCATCCATTTCTTGTGTTTCTCCTTATCAGTACCTGAAGGGCGTATTTACTTTAGGCAATTATAAGCATAACAAAAGGATTTCCTGAGAATGGCTGAACTTGCATTTTGGAATTATATATGCACCCTAACAGTCTTCTTGTATGGTATATAATATCACTCTAATGCTAATATCCACTTATTTCCCACCAGGATTTAGGGGAAACCAGGAGTCACTGGAACCAGGTGTCATACTATTTGAGTTCAGGTCGGCCTTTGTCAGTTGTTCCTAGTCTATCTGGGACCCTATTTCCATGACCCGTGCTGTTTCATCTAGATTCGCTTCAGACTGATCATTTTAGCATTGGAGTGTATGTATGTAATTTGCAGAGAGTTTTTAGTTTTTCTCACCGCAATTGCTCAAAATTTAAGTACTAGAGTACATCATATGATTTGCCATTTTCCCAAACTTACCGTTCCTCTCCTCAAGGAATTCCTCTGACCAGAATTCCTCTGCCTGGAACCCCACTTTAACCCTTCTGTCTGAGAAACTCCTATGTGCCTTTCTCCAGACCCAGTTCAAACGCCTACTCAATTGTGATGCCCACCCTTAGCCTCCCAGCTAATCCATTCTTCCTCTGTGCTCCCAAATCACCTTCTGCATAATCATGAATAATTATTTGTACATATGTTTATTTCTCCCATCAAATATGAGCCCCCTTGAAATGAGGGGGAGTGTTTATTATTATTATTATTATTTTTTGTCTTTAGCAAACAAGAGTTCCTGGCACATAACAGGTGATGAAGAAATGATTGGGAAGTAAATCAATAAAGGTTAAAGGCTTTTTATTTATTTATTTAATATAATTTATTGGCAAATTGGTTAACATACAGTGTGTAAAGTGTGCTCTTGGTTTTTGGGGTAGATTCCCATGGTTCATCGCTTACACACAACACCCAGTGCTCATCCCAACAAGTGCCCTCCTCACTGCCCATCACCCATTTCCCCTCTTCCCACCTCCCCCCATCCACCCTCCGTTTGTTCTCTGTATTTAAAAGTCTCTTATGGGGCGCCTGGGTGGCGCAGTCGGTTAAGCGTCCGACTTCAGCCAGGTCACGATCTCGCGGTCTGTGAGTTCGAGCCCCGCGTCAGGCTCTGGGCTGATGGCTCAGAGCCTGGAGCCTGTTTCTGAGTCTGTGTCTCCCTCTCTCTCTGCCCCTCCCCCGTTCATGCTCTGTCTCTCTTTGTCCCAAAAATAAATAAACGTTGAAAAAAAAAATAGAAGTCTCTTATGGTTTGAAAGGCTTTTTATTTAATCAACTGTATTTTTATTCTTGGGTAATTTACATCTTTTTTTTTTTTTTTGAGAGAGAGAGAGAGAGAGAGAGAGCACATGTGCAAGTGAAGGAGAGGGGCAGAGGAGAGAGAAAGAGAATCTTAAGCAGGATCCACACTCAGCTCAGAGCCCGACTCCGGGCTCAATCCCATGACCCTGGGATCATGACCTAAGCCTCAGTCGCTCAACTAACTGAGCCACCCAAGTGCCCCTCCATCCTTTTTTTGCTGTTATGCAAATACGTGTAATGTAGGAAATACCAAGGACATGTCTGTTCTACCACATCACTGCTAATGACTTTTGCAAAATGTCTATGAATGCCTTCTACAAAACTACCTTCTGAAACTGTGGTGGAGAAAGTTTTATACAATTTATCCATCTGGATGAAGGTCCCAGTGTGGCTGTTTTATAGTCTCATGTTCATGACCTGTGGGTAAACTCCTAAGAACTTACGTGATCCCAGCCAAAGCCAGGAGCAGCCACATTAGAACCTCTGGGTTATACGCATCGTCCCTGGAAACACTGGACTCTGGCTGCACTTCCAGTTGTAAATACCTAATCACGTCAAAAATGTGTAAAGTTCCAAGTCCAAGGCACTGCACACAGCTCTTTCCAGTACATGGGTCACAGCTGCAAAGCTGTCAAAATAGCAGAACAGTGGCCTGGAACTCTCCCCTCCAGAGGTCCAGGGCATGTGGGCAGACTCACAGAAACAGATGGCTAGACATGGAAGAAAGGCTAGATTTTGATTTTTTGCTTTATAAATTCAGCAAATTGGGCACAGCAGCAATAGTCAGATTCTATCTGGTTCACTCCCAGCAAACCAGACTCTTGTGGATCTGCACGGCTTCACGTGGCTCCATTTCTTTTCCAAGATGATCTCATCTTGCAAATGGGCTTTCATCCTGACCAGGTAAAGAGAAAAGCTGGTGACTTGGCAGGATAATTCTTGCCTGTAAGAATATGAATCAGGGCTCCACATTTTCCGGACATTTATCTTTGTTTTGGATCATTTGAGGCTGAATCCACACCTTGGCCACTCATCCCTCCACTGTTCTATCTTTCCTTGATAAGAAGAGAGTAAGAAGTAGACGGGCTATGAGTTATGTTGTTAGCACGAAGGGCCTTTCTACATTGTTTTTTCTCTTTTTACAGTTTATCTTACATTCCCAGTCATCCAAGAGAATTGTAAACTGGAAGTTTGAAGGGGCTGGTACAGCTCTTCTCTCAGATAGTCCTTATGCCTCTGACAGAATGCTTCCTGGCCATGGGACTGACCGTCGAGAAAGACAATACAGCCTGTGGGATGTGGCTGGTTTGGGAGGTTTTTGAGTCTTGACGCTGTGATTTGGTGTTATGTGTTCTTGTCCTCTCTCAACCTAAGTTATTGAATTTGCGAAATGGGGCTAATAAAGCATTCGATTCAGGTTGACAGTAGGCTAGGAGAGCACTGCCACCGTGTCAGCAAGGACAAGGTGTAGCTGCCACACTGCCAAGACCCAGCACCCCCTAAAGTGACTCAGCTAAGAAGGCAGTCCCGGAAGGGCAGCCTAAATTGTGCCCAAAAGGCACAGAGGTGACCCAGGCTGATGTTCCATCAAGCTGTTGGAGCAGCGGGTAGGGGGACCCCTCCCTCAGTGGCTACTCGGGAAGCAGGAGGAAGTAATGCGCAAGTGCTGAGATGATGGCTCCCATCTCGGACCTGACATTCAGGATTTCTTGACTATCAGCAGGTTATTTCATGTTTTTAAGCTTCATTTTCTTCATCTGCAAATTGAAACAATAAAATCTATTTGGAGAGTTGCTGAGAAGCTTAAAGTAATGGAGTGAATGCATGACAAGAGTTTAGCAATGGGCTTAATATGTAGCAAGTGCCTAAAAATGGTAGCTCAAAGCAAACAAGTAGCTGGAAGACAGCAGAATTTGGGGAGATGGATCCATTCCTGGTAGAATCCCTGCCTATAAGAGGACAGATGAGAGGGACAGACTCTCTCTTTGCGATGGGTACTAGTGAGAGCCAACAAGCCCAGCCTAGCCATTGGGGCACGGGCTCAGGCTCTGTTCTCAAGGCGGCCATGCTGTTGGACAGAATTAGGATGTGGATATCAGGCTTCATCTGGAAATTCTCAGAGACCTGTATCTTGTACTATGTGACAGGATGCCTGAGGCTTTGCAAGGGAGAGTATTATGCTGGTTGGCCTGTCAGAGTCTCCATGATGCATCCCCACCACCCACCCCTCCAGTTCTCAGGGTGAGTTTCCTGTTCAAGCATTTAGGTGGGGACTGAATGCAACTTTCGAGAATTGACTTAGAGCTTGGGGGAACCAGGAGGCAGCTGACACTTCCTCTAGTCGCTCACAACTTGTGTTGACTGAAAAATACTGCCATATAACTCTCTCCATGACCTGACTTCTCCCCATGTTTTTAGCCAGGCTCTTCTTCACAATTTAAGCTTTGATGATATCCCCATTTATACCATGCTGATTTATGCCTCCATATCTTTGTTCTTCCCAAACCTTCAGCCTGCAATGCTTTTCCTGCATTTCTTCATCTGGACAGCCTTCAACATTCCTCAAGGCTCAGCTGAGTAATCACTTCCTCCAGGATGCCTTCCCTGAGTCCATGGGATAAAAATAGCAACCAATTAATTAGCACTTAACTGAGTACCAGACAAATGGAATAAGCATTCTACACTTTGCATCATGTAATACTTCAACAACTCTGAGGAAACAGAACCCTGAGAAAGTTGAGTGGCCTGCTCATGGTCTACCTTAGCAGCTAAGATACGTTGGAGCCTGGATTTTAAGTCATGTGCTAAACCCAAAACTGATGGTTTCTAATCACTATGATAGGTTGCCTCCCTGCACGTACCTTCTTCAAAATTCCCACAAACCTCTTCGCAATTTCTCTCTAATCATGTGAAATGGAAGTCATTCACCTCTGTTAACTCCTCCTAACAGAAGGAAATTCCCCCAGGACAAAAATTCTCTGGATCTAGCTTTTCATCTCATACCTGACACGGAGTGTTCATTCAGTAAAGGCTAAAGGCCATGTGAAATAAATCAAAGGGTACAAAACTTATTTTTTAAATGGTGGTGGAGAGAGAGACATGGGTTCGGAGGAGCTCCTCGTCTAGCAGGGAATAGGAAATGATCAACACGCAAGGTAATTCAATAGGAAAAAAGAAAATTGCTAAGACAGATTGGTGCTCAAAAGCTAGATAAGTGTATGGAAAAAAGCAAACCTTAACCCCTACCTCCAACTATATGCCAAAATTAATCCAACAGTGATCACAGATATCTCTGAACATAAAAGCTGAAAATATAAGGCTTCTAGAAGGAAACCTCAAAGAATATCTTTGCACTGTGTGTTAGGTAAAGATTTCTCAAGACAAAAAAAAGCACTAAATTATAAAAGAAATTATATTGGACTTAAGAAAAAATAATCATGGGGTGTCTGGGTGGCTCAGTTGGTTAAGCATCTGACTCTTGGTTTCAGCTCAGGTCATGATCTCACAGTTTTGTGAGTTCGAGCCCCACATAGGGCTGACAGCGGGGATTCTCTTTCTCCCTCTCTCTCTCTGCCCCTCCCTCACTCACACACTCTCTCACTCTCTCCCTCAAAATAAATAAATAAACTTTAAAAAATTAAAAAATAAAAATAAATAATTCCTATAATTAGGTAAGGAAAATATAAAGATAAACAACCCAATAAAAAAATGGGCAACAAACTTGACCAGGCACTTCACAGAGGAAGATTTGGAAAAGACTAATAAGTACAGGAAATACGATCAAGTTCATTAAATTAATTCAAACTAAAATCACAATGATTTCACATCCATGAGAATGGCTAAAATGAAAAAACAAAACTGCTAATACTAAATGTTGACAAGAATGTGGAGCAAAGAACTAGACTCATACATTGCTGGCACAGCCATTTTGGAAAATTATTTGTCAGTTTCTTATAAATTTAGATACTTGCATTATGATCCAGAAATTCCACTCTTGGGTATTTACCCCAGACAAATGAAAACAAAACTCTATAAAACTACTTGTTTCTGGAAGCTTATTCGTTATAGGCCCAAACTGAAAACAATTCAAATGTCCATCAGTAAGAGAATAGATAAACAAATTGCAGTGCATCCATTCAATGGAATACTACTCAGCAATAGAAAAGAAAGGACTGGATGAGTCTCAAAAACATTATTTTGACTGAAAGCAACCAATCACAAAAGAGTACATTCTACATGATGCTATGTGTATGAAATTCTGATATAAGCAACATGAATCTATGATAATAAAAATCAGAGTAAGGGTTGCTATTGGTGGCAGGTTTGGGCTGAGAAAGGGTATGAGAAAACTTTCTGGAGTGATGGAAATGTTCTAGATCTTGATCAGGCTGACTACACAGGTATATTGATTTGTCAAAACTCAGAACTGCAGTCTTAAAAATCTATTTTTACAAACGATTTTAGTTCAAAGGAAGAAATAGAACCACTGTGCTTTGTTCAGATCACACTTGAAATACTATGTTCAGTTTTGAACACGTCTTAAAAACAATAAATCAAACTATGGGTTACCAGGATGCAATGAGAAAGGTAAGGAATGGGGGAGGTGCAGGCTGGAGAGAAGACAAAGAGGGAGTGTTGTCCTATTTAATCATCGGGAGGAGAGTTGTGTGGTCGAACGCCTACATTTATTCACCGGGTCTCTAAAAGGCATAACCAGAACCAGGGGGTAAAAATTACAAAGAGGAAACGTTTTCTAGACACCAGGAAATGAGGCTGCAAAGCAAAGCAAAGCTTGGACAGTCATCAGAAGGTCGCTGACAGAGCCTGGACAAAAGGTGGAGCAGCCTGGACCGCATGTGCTGTAGGGGTGGAGAAGACTGGAAGGGAGAGTGGACGTGAGAAAAAGCAGGAAGTACACTGGGACATATGACACATGTGTTATGTGTGTGTGTGTGTGTGTGTGTGTGTGTGTGTGCATGTGTGTGTGTGTGTGTGTGTGTGTGTGAGATATACAAGGGAGAGCAGTGAATAGAAAATGACTCTCCTGTGTTTCCAAAGAAGACACCATTGATATTGGTATGTGTCATAGAATCTTATGAATCAGGAAATTGTGTTTAAAACATTAGACCTTAAAATTGTGCTATTGTGTCTGACTAAGCAATCAAAATGGATTTTAAAGAAAATGCGACCGAGTCACAGAGCTATTGGAGACAGGAACTAGAAGCCAAACCACCCACCTGCCTAACCTTTAAAGGCACCAAGATAAGCTGTTGTCCTTCAACCCCATCCTATCGCCCCATTTCAATTTCCTGTGCTTACCCCATCTGAAAGTTTTCTTATTTATTTATTCTAAACTTTATATTGTATGTCTCAGTCCACTGGAATATAAACCTCTGAAGAGCAAGGATGTTATGGTCTTAGTCACGGCTAGTGCCCCAGCTCCTAGAGTCCTGTGGGTCACAAGAGGGTGCTCCATCAAGAACTGAAGGTTGAGTGAAGTTCAAGCCAGAGCTGATTTGGGGATGGCTTACTCGTTGGTGATTGTGAATGGGAACCACAGAAACACATGCCAGAATACTTCAGCCATTCGCAGAAGCTGTAGTGAGCATTTCAGATGTGTGTTTCTTTCAGTCCGACACTCATAATACCCGATGGCACTTATGCCTTGTGCCAAGGCGAGTCCTCTTAGGCTCACATCTGCTCCAGCTGCTGTTTGCCCAGACAGGTTCCAGACACGGTTCCCTGCAGACGGCTGCTGCAAGCGCACTTCTCTTTCCTGCCTGGGACTTTGCTGATGCCAGCGTGTGACACGCCCTCAGGAACCTTCTGGGCATCTCATGCATGGGCAACTCAATAATGTGAGCACTACAGGAACACCCTTGATCAAAACGGGGTGGGGGAGTCAACGGACAAGCTCTTCCCCCTTTTGTAATCAGGACCAGTAGTTCTGAGACGATGCTTTGCATGAGGGTCCTCAGAAAGTGCAGCAGGTGAGATCAAGCAGCAGTCACCTATAGCGGGAGCCAGCTTGATAATGCACCCTTATGTTGGCACTCCTTCTGTCCTTGTTCCTCGGTCCACATTGCCCTTCTTCACTCCTCCCTGGGACCAAATAAACTAACTGCACCCATGCATTTGTCTCAGGCTCTGCTCTCTGGGACATCCAGGCAAAGACAACAACCCAATTTTCATTACCCTGACTCTGAAAGTGCTTTCTTGTTTTAGGAAAACCACCTGGATATGTAGGTCAGAAACTTCTGGCAACAAGAAGGATGTGTTAAAATCCCCATATGCCCTTTAACTCTTGGGGCCCCTCGGCAGGTGCTGAGGCAAACCAGATAGCATGTGGCCCTGGTGTAAAGGCAGCATCCCCAGGGGCTTCGGCAACTGCCATCTGATGGGCAACAGCAAATCCTCCCTGAGAAGAGCAGCTGAGGGCAGAAGCTGTCCTCAGCCCTGAAGGATGAGTGCCTGGCTGGGGGGGAGGGGGCAGGGAAGCTGCTGGAAGGCAGCTGATGGGCTGGATGAGCCTATGGGGTGGAGATTTCTCACACCCCCAGCCACTCACGGACATCTTCGGTGAGGGGAGGCCCTTTGCAGAGAGACCCAGGGGCTGGAGAAAGGACAGTGAGTAAGTAGCAAAGGGTCTTCTTCTGTGATGGGGTCTGTATCTTGTTCCCTGGCCATTTTTTCCTTCTTAATAAAAGAGGTAAAATTTGCATAACATAAAGTTAACACTGTACAGTTCAGTGGCTTTTAGTAATTCACACGTTGTGCAACCATCAACCTTTATCTGGTTCCCAAACATTTTCATCTCCTCTCAAGGAAATCCTGTCCCCATTAAACAGTTACACCCTCTTCCCAGCCCCCGGCTACCGCTAATCTGCTTTCTGTCTCTATGGAGCTACCTACCCATTCTGGATATTTCCTATAAAGAGAATCAAACATCGTGCGACCTTTTGTCTCTGGCTTCTTTCACTAAGCATAACGTCTTTGACATTCATCCATGATGTAGTGTGTGTCAAACTTCACCCCTCTTTAAGGCTGTGTAGTGTACCATTATATGGATGTATACGTACATAATCACATTGTGTGTATCCGTTCACTGATTGATGGGCATTGGGGTGTTTCCGCCTTTCATCTGTTGGGTGAGTGCTGCTGTGATCGTTCGCATACAAGCATGTGTCTGAGCCCCTGTATTCAATTCTTTTGCAAGTATGCCTGGAAATGGAATTACTGCTCATCCATTGTGTGATTCTTTTTCCGATGCTCCCGTTTGAGCCCCCCTGACTCTCTCTGCCAATTGGCTGAAGGAGAAAACCAATCACCACTTTTAACTAAAGATCTACGGAAGGATTTAGGACACCCACCCGCACACATGGGGCTTGGTCAAAGCTAAAGAAGCTGGCGTCCAGGGAGATGGGAGGGGGCTGGCCTGAGTGTTCCCCTACACCCCTCTTCTTTACAGTGAGGGTCTTAGCCTTACTGTGAACTCACTTAGATGGGTTAGGTGGATTTGGTTGTGGGCGAGACCTGTGTACCTATGTAAGTATGAGCCCTGGGGCCTCATTTAGGTACATATACGAAACCATTTCACAGGGACAAGCCAGCCCTTATTTTCGTTTTCCCTGTGGGAAGTCTTTCAGCCGGGTGTCTATTTATTTATATTGGTTACCATGCAAGCATTACTTGGAACAAATCTTGAAAATTAGAAAAACAGAAAAAATAGGGTTTGGTAATAACCAAGCTGAGGGTCACGCCTCCGAATTAAAACATACCACCTGTACTGAGACAATCTGGGTTGGAGTCGAAGGCTTTCCGTTTGCCACCACGTGAATGCCGTGTAGGCTGAACTTGGGACCCTCTCACTGGGGCAGTTTTAAGACATTAAGTCACTGTTGGCTTTGAGCAGTACTCGTTCTAAGAAATGGATGTTTTTTTAAACAACAAATGTCCCAGAGTTCTGTCTGGGTACTGTTTTAGTTTGGAAAGTTTAGCACGTACCTGCGTCTATACGTTAGTGGGGGAAGAACCGGTGGTCAAAATCGAGACAGGAAATATCCATTTAAAGCGATGCGCACAGGGACATCCAGTGCATGAAAAAGATATCTGTGGGCGGCCAGGTCTTCCCTCACGCCTGACCTTTTAACTCAATTGACCTTTTAACTCAAAGCTGTTACTTCCACGGGCACAAAGGTGTCCAAGTGCCGCTGGGCGAGAGAGGCGTCTCACTTCCTGGGTGGTGGCGCCGCAGCTTCTGTGGACACTCACAGTGCCCGCCCCCCCCCCCCCCCCGCCATCTGACTCACGTTTTCCACCGTGGAGGTCACTGACAATGGAGCAATTAAACAGGCAGACCTGCTGAGGTATTCAAGTTTCTGTCCATAAAT